CCAAACAGTAGCATCTTTTCAATCATTTACGGGTGTAGGCAACCTGGATACAGCATAAATATGTGAGTCATCTCTCACGTGTGATTTCTCCTAGGCCCAGTTTGGTTCTTTGCCATTGTGTCCTCTTCGAGTTGTACCTGATTTTATTACCAGTTTTCATCCGAATCCATTGGGGAACGGGCCGATTCTGCTTTTGTTTCTTGGCCAGGAACATCTTGATCTTGTGGGAAGAAATGGCAGAGAATCAAATGCAGCACCTTGGTGCTGAAAGAGAGCTCTTAATGATTTTTTTTAAAATCTTCATTGTTGAAAGTATTATATATGTCCTCTTCCCCTCCACCCCCATTGACCTCTCCCACCCGACCCTGGCTCCCACCCCAGGCCTTCGCCACCCTATTGTCTGTGTTCATGGGTTATACATATATGCATAGGAATTCATTGGTTGATCTCCCTCTCCCATCACCTTTTCTCAGGTTTGACAGTCTGTTCAGTGCTTCTGTGTTTCTGGGTCTATTTTTGTTCATCAGTTTATGTTGCTCATTAGATTCCACATATGAGTGAGATCATGTGATACGTATCTTTCTCTGACTGGCTTATACTCTTAGCATAATACTCTTCAGATCCATGCATGCTGCTGCAAATGGTAAGAATTCCTTCTTTTTTAGAGCAGTATAGTATTACATTGTGTAGATGTACCACAGGTTTTTAATCCACTCATCTGCTGATGGGCACTTAGGCTGTTTCCAGATCTTAGCTATGGTGAATTGTGCTGCTATGAACATAGGGATGCACATATCCTTTCTGATTGGTGTTTCTGGTTTCTTGGGATATATTCCTAGAAGTGGGATCACTGGGTCAAATGGGAGTTCCATTTTTAGTTTTATGAGGAAACTCCATACTGTTTTCCATAGTGGCTGCACCAGTCTGCATTCCCCCCCAGCAGTGTATGTGATTTCTTATTCTCATCTTTCGCATTTCTTCTTCACAACTTGATGTTCCATACTGCTTCAAACCTCCTTTACTTTATACAAATTGATATTTTTGTTTGAAATATACTGTGCTTAACTTCACATAGATAATTGTAAATTATTTAGTGCTCATTCCAGGAAGCTCCCCTTTCAGGGAAAGCTTTAATGATTTCACTTGATGTTTCCTTTTCCCATGTACCTTTCCATGCCCCACTGCCAGCTGTCCTAAATGTTTTGCCTTCATCCTCACTGAGTACTATGTGTAGCCCTTCTTATATGTGGTAATTACCTTTTTCCTTTTTTCTTTTTTTTTATATTTTATTGATTTTTTACAGAGAGGAAGGGAGAGGGATAGAGAGTTAGAAACATCGATGAGAGAGAAACATTGATCAGCTGCCTCCTGCACACCCCCTACTGGGGATGAGCCCACAACCAAGGTACATGCCCTTGACCGGAACCGAACCTGGGACCCTTGAGTCCGTAGGCTGATGCCTATCCACTGAGCCAAACCAGTCAGGGCCTTTTTTCTTATTAGAATTAGTTTACTGAGGTCAGAGACCTTGAGTTTTATCTGTCTTTTTTTTTTTTTTTCCGTCAAGCACATGGAAGGGTTCAACTATCATTTGAACAAAAGAAGATAAGGAAGGCATGAAGAAGGAAGAAAAAAAGGAAATAAGGAAGGGGAAAAAGAAGAGAATAAGAATGGCAACAATAAAGATGTTTTCAGTTTTGTTTTTAACTGGAGACAAGTGAACAGAAAAGTGTTTGCTCCTAGAAAATGCGTGGATCTGATTCACTTCTAAACACTCATATCTGAAACTGGAAGCATAATTCTTTGAAAAAAGCTTCCATTATCATTAATCTTTTGGGGCCCTCTCATGTATTAGGAATAATTATAAATAAAATTGGTTGAAGGGATTCATGGGACTAGATTTTTGGATATGAGTGTTGTAACTCCCAGAGGCCATTAATTACTTGCTTGGCCTACCAGTGGTCGGCAAACTCATTAGTCAACAGAGCCAAATATCAACAGTACAATTATTGAAATTTCTTTTGAGAGCCAAATTTTTTAAACTTAAACTATATAGGTAGGTACATTGTTATTTACTTAATTAGGATACTCCTAAGGCTTAGAAAGATCCACACTCAAGGGGCCAAAGAGCCGCATGTGGCTCGCGAGCCGCAGTTTGCCGACCACGGGCCTAGACCCATGTTATGACAATCAGTGTAGGCTTGTTTTGCCAACTCCTAAAATAACAGAATCTATGAATTCACTAGTCTCCACCGGTGTGGATATAGGAAGAGCTCTGAAGGTCTTTCCCTCATAGGACTCATTGCTCTAAGAAAATAGCCCTATTGCCAGAATCTACAAATATACAGAAAACATTATATGCCTGCTATATGCGAAGCTCCAAGCTACTATTCAAAGTGTTCCTGTCCAGCTTTATTTATGCTCTCACTCCACTTTTCTTTACACCATATTAACCCTACTTGAGTTATAAATACTTTTATCACTTTTCAGTAAAGGCATACAATAGGTGCATACTTTAATCAGCTTGTTCTCCTCAAAGGAGATTTTAGTAATGTCTCTTCTTCCCCTACTCTTCTAAGAACAAAATTCAGCATTTGCTAAGCAAAGTGGAAGACAAGAGTACTGATTTTGAAAAATATGATTTTCCATTTTCTTATATATAGAATGTGTCCATATGACCCATGTGTCTAGGAAGTGTGACCTAGTGCCTATTCCAATGCTACCTCTTGAATTAGGACATAATCCTACATTGTGTCATGATGGGATTTAGTTCATTCTAAAGAGTCTAGTACAGTGACACCTCACATTGGGTCATACACAAAATTTATATTACCCCTACAACCCTCTAGTAATCTAAACATATCAAAGAACATTTCAGGCAGCTGATACCAAAATAAGTCTTCTTAAATAGCTCCACAAAGAAATCTCTCACAATTGCTCTAATTTTTACCATCCGATTTTAAAATATGAACTCCTATTGCTCAGTGTGATGGCATTTAATTGGTGAGGCCTCCCTTAGCCACTACTATTATTATCATGACACATTGATCTTATATTTACAAATTTAAGGATACACTTACAAATATTCCTCATATTAATAAAGGCATGTGCTCAAGCATATAGATACACATATTATTTTGAGATTTTTCAGTGTCTACCTTCTGTCTTTTCATGCTAATCTGTATATGCATGTGCAGGCATTGAGAGATGTACATAGATATACTTCACATTTAAGCTTGAAATGGGTATTTTAAATATTAAAATAAAAAGCCATAGTGTTATACATGGAATTTTGCATTTGTATCAAATATGTATATTTAATAAAGTTGGGAAATCTATTTTAGTATGTGCTTATGCCATGGCAATGTTTTAATACAAAAAGAAGTTTTTAGATTTAATCCCCTCAAACCTAAAGTCTTTCTTATCAGGAATGCATCATGTCCTGTGAGCACATAGAAGCTCATAGGACAGAGAACATAATAAAGATCCATGGTAGCATGATTTAGTGCAAACTGTTGGTCATCTGCAAAAGTGTGTGCCTGGCGGGGCTGACCATAGGTAAAATGAGAGCTTCTGGTCAAGATGGCATCACAAGTAAATGAGGTACTCACATCCTCCCACTAAATTACAACCAAACTAAAGAACAACCATCATTTAGAACAATCTGAAATCCAGCTGAATGGAAGTCCTACAACTAGGGAATAAAAGAAGCCACACTGAGACTGGTAGGAGAGGCAGAGATTTGGAATGGGCTGATACCATACTCAAGTGTTGTGGATAAAAATTGGGAGGGCTATTTTGGCTCTGAAGATCCCTGCTGAGATGTCCCAGCCTCACACCAGATCCCCTACCCAGGGTTCCAGTGACAGGAAGAAAGATCTCCATAAATTCTGACTGTTAAAGCCTGTGGGGTTTGTGGCTGAATGAGATGATGGCTCTGAAGCCCCAGGCATTCCTCTTAAAAGATTTGCACATGGACACACTCAGACTCACTCTGAGCTCCAGTGCTGGGGCAACACCTTGAAAGGCACAAGGGGAATAGGGGTAGGAAATGAAATGTCTGGCATCAGGATGAGAGTTGGAGGGCAGCTTTCCCAGCCAGAAGTGCTGGCAGAGGCAATTGTTACTTTGCTGAGCACTCCCTCCACATAGCAAGCAGACGGGCACCATATGTGACTCTCCATCAACCAGGCTAATACTGTTTACCCCACCCTTGTGATTATCTGAGACTCCATATATCCCACCCTACCCAACTTCAGGTCCTCCCAATCTGTTTCCAGTAGTTTTTCTATAGGAATAGCCAGTCTTCAATAATGGTTCACATTTTCCAAAAAAAATCTCCCAAACAAGCAGCATCTAGCCTTGGCTTGCCCCATATGTCTCATTAAGTGGCCTCAGGTCTGGCACCAGTGGAAGCCAGGTTGAGTTGGCAACTTGGCCTCTCTTGGGTACCTCCAAGCCCATCAAAAGTAGCAGCCATCTGTAAATTTTGTGTAGTTCATGCCAGGTGGCACTGGGTAGAACTCAGGTGATGGCTGACATTTACCTGCATCTCCCAGGAGGCTCTAGAGCCAGTGTACGCAGTGAATAGCTTCAGACCACGTGGATGCACCACATAACCACTTCCACAAGTGAATCTTCATGGCAGACCTGCTCAAATAATTCCTGTTCTGTGCAGTGAGCCCCTGCTGATCTGGTCATCCACAGTGGCTGCAGCCAGTCATTGCAACTGATTGATCTGAAGGTAAATCCCTCCTACTGATGTGAAAACAAAAATCAAGGCTCAACTACAACAGGAAGGTGCACATAGCCCACATGAGGGGTGCAGTTGGAATGCCCAGATTTGGTTATCATGGAAGCTGTGCCACTGAATCCTACAAAATACCTACTATATAAGGCCACTCTACCATGCCCAGGGACACAGTGGCTTTACCTAATACATAGAGACAAGGAGGGTGCCAAAATGAGGATACGAAGAAATATGTTCCAAATGAAAGAACGGAAAAAAGCTCTAGGAAAAAGTACTAAACAAAATCGATACAGGTAACCTACCAAGCATAGAGTTCAAAATACTGGTTATAGGTTGCTCAACAAACTTAGGGGAGAAGGAGATGAACCTAGTGAGAGCTTCAACGAAGAGATAGGAGATATAAGGATGGAACTTGAAAACATAAAAAGAATCAGTCAGATGTTAAGAATACATTCATTGAAATGAAGGAAACATTACAGGGAATCAACAGT